ATCAACTTATAAAGAGGAAAAATGTATCTGGGTTCATAGTTTTGGAGGTTTCAGTACATGACCAACTGGCCTCACTGGTCTAAGGCTATGGAGAGGCAGCACATCAAGGTGGGAGCATGTGCCGGAGCAAAGCCAGGTACTAAAAGAGAAAGGGCATGTCCCTCAGTGACCTAAAGATCTCTACTGGGCTCTTCTTAAAGTTTCTACCACCTCTCAACAGTTGGAGGAGCAAACCTTTAATGCTTGGAGTACATTTAAGATCCAAATGATAGCTGTCCTTGTCCATAGAAAATACTTTAGTCTTATGGGGTAAATAGGGAATCAGGTCGACAATTTAAATGGTTCAGGACAAACAGTTCTTTGCACTGTACTTGCAATAATTCTGTAAGTCTGACAGTGGGTAATTAGAAAAGTGTGACAAGTTCTAGGCAAAAGGGCATGAAGATGTTAGGGTTATCAGGAAGATCCTGGATACTTAGGGAGTAGGTTCTTAAAGGGAGCAATTTGGAGAACAGAGATGAATCAATCTTGAGCAGTACAGCTTTGGACAAGAGGGTCTTGGGCCTGGGTCCATGCTTAAAGACCCTGCTTTCAGCCAAGTGGGGGTACCACTTTCCTATTATCCCAGCCCTCAGGAGGTTGAGGCAGGATTGTGAATTTGAGGCCAGCCTGGGGCCACACAGAGATCTTGTCTCAAAACGAAACAAAACCCAAACAAAAGTCGTGCTTTTTGCCCTTTTCCTACTCTGATGGGTCCCAAAGGGGAAAAATGGCTGTTGAATCCTCAGGGACAAAGAAGTGAAATGGCACTTGGATGATAAGCAGACCAAGGAAGAGAGCAGCACTCAGAGAACTGAAGGGAAAGACAGGTTTATTCCCTAGCTAGTGGGCCCAGTGGAAGTCACCTTCCAGAGTCTGAGCCTCCTTTCTCTGTTTGTTCTCATATTTATCTCTTCTTTAGCTGGGGTGTGGGCGCAAGCAGAATTTTACAGAAGCAGAACTTAGCAAAGGGTAGGGAGGTGGAGATAAATGTTGTTTTACAGTTTATCTTTAAAACACAGGGAGGTAGGCAGCTGTGTTTCAGCAGTTCATCTTCCGGGCACAGTGACCTTCATGGGTTTAGTAGGAGGGGCAAGCTTTAGACTGTCAGCCTTGAGATCGTCAATCTCTGCTCTTTTGTTTTGTCCATTTCAGAAGGACATGTCCATCAGCTAGGTCTCACCCTTCTAACCGCCCCTTCTTCCGCTCTCGCTGCCTGAGTGCTTTGAAATTGCTGAGCCTCTACACCTGGTCCATCCTTTCCCGGTTGCACAGGTGTATGGATGCCTCAGTTGGAGGAGGGATCGTGCCGGGTAGCTGTGGCCAAAACCTGGACTGAAGGGTTGAGTGCTCACGTGTGGAAATGAGAGACCCTACCAGCGAGCAGCTCTGCACCAGCTGCCACAGTCACCTGGAGATCCTGTCAGAGAATTCTAAATTTCAACTTGGCTTTTTTTAGGTCTTAGGGAGGTATTTTTGTCAGGGTAGAAGAGAAAGATGATGCTTTACAGATAAGAAAGCTCCGAGAAAAGCTGAGCTGGTCCTAGAACCTGGAAGGAAGCTCCCCTGCCGCCATCCCAACCTCCTAGGGCAGAGAAGGTGAGCCTCGTGGGGGCCAAAAGCACCCCCCCCCACCGTGGAAATGAGAAGACATGTAAACAAGCCTCAAAAACAGACTTCTGGATCACCTACAGCAGCCCCAAAGGGAAACTAGATGGAACAATCTGATACTCAACCACCTAGACTCTCTGAACTGGCAACAAAAGAGGATCTGGGAAAAATGAAATCAGAAATAATTACTCAGATAACAGCAAAGATTTTGCTCATGGTGC